AGAGTTGGCGGTGGGTGGTGATGACTAGCTGCCTTCCATCTAGTCTTACACTGCTAAATTAAGGATGGCTAGCGCAGATTGACCTCGTGTAGCTTTGTGCAAAATTCAAAACAAACAAACTACTGTTTTCCTTGTAAGCTTTTCAAAATTGGAAAATTAGCGACGGTCGGATACGGAGATTGGGAGCATTCTCGACGAGCACTTGAGGAGCATGAACGATCAACACTGCACTGCACGAATGTTGTTTCACTTGCAAAACGATCTGCCAAATCTGGCCGAGTCGACAAAACAATGGTCAGATATGGAGCTGAACTCCAGTCTTACTGGTGCCACATTTTGAGAAGAAGTGTGTGTTATAAGCTTTCTTGTTCAGCGTGGTCTTGTACTCTGTGGTTCGAATGAAACTGTGGGTTCACCAAACAACGGAAATTTCCTTGGTCTGATAGAACTGTTATCAGAATATGACTCATTCCTAGCTCAGCACCTCCAAAAGTATGCAAATAAAGGGCGTTGACATACCAATTATCCACAACATTCAATGAACTTATAACCTTACTGGGAAAATATGTATTAAACGACATCATCGTTCATGTAAAGAAGGCAAAGTACTTTTCAGTTACAGTGGATTCTACCCAGACGTTAGCCATGTGGACCAGCTGACATGTGTGCTGCAGTACTTAAAAGAAGACACACCAGTTGAACGTTTCACGTGTTTCCTCGACATTACTGGTCACATAGGGCAAGATCATGCGACTGCTCTGCTTAAATGTCTTGAGGATGTTGGTATCGACACTGCAAACTGCCGGGGCCAATCATATGACAATGCATCCAATATGAGTGGAACGTACAATGGGATGCAAGCAATAATTCGTCAGAAAAATCCTCTGGCAGTATTTCTACCTTGTGCTGAATTTGGTGGGTCAAGCCGCAGTTGGTTGATGTCGTCCAGCGATCACATACTTTGATTTGTACAACAATTGTATGTATTCTTTGCAAGTTCAACTGCACGTTTTGCTCATTTAATGGATTCACTAAGACCAAAAGGATTATATGTCCCAAAAAGTTTGAGTGACACACGTTGGTCGGCTCATGCAGATGCCACGAGAGCTATACGTGAGGGTTACAACAAGATAGCTGATGTTCTAGACAACATTACTGCATCTTATCTTTACGAAAAGATGTGCGCATTGGAAACTGGTTTTTACAGTGCATTCTGGAATACCATCCTCAGCCGTTTTAATCAGACAAGTAAGAGTCTCCAAAGTGAGTCCATTGATCTTAACATAGCTGTAGCTCTCCTGAAATCCCTGTCAACATTTGTTTAGTCGCTTTGATGATTTTGTGGCCGACGGTATAAAACACTCAAAGGTCAAGTAAACGGAAATATAATGTTTGTTTTTATCCTCTAGATTATGGTCGCTCAGCCGAGATCAAACTGAGTCCTAAGAATGCTTTTCCTGTTAGGGATTCACTTTTGTAATTGACGTGCAACAAACAAAGCTTGATAGGCGTGCAAGCTCTTATACGGAGATAAATGATCAATTTGGATTTCTCCGGAGACTTTTAGAAATGGACCTAGACTAAATTCGCTCAGCAGCTTCAAAACTGGTCAGGATATATACATCAAACCTCGACGAGCGCCTCGGTGATGAACTGATTCAGTTAAAGGCATTACTGGATGAGAGTGGTAAGAATAACCTCAGAGAAGCCACGATGTACAAAATACTCAAGAATAATAATATGAAGGCTACCTTTCCCAACACTGAATTTACCTCTCACTGATGATATCAACTCCAGTGGTGAAAGATCATTCTCTAAACTAAAGTTGACAAAGAACCATTTGAGGTCTACCATGATTCATTCAAAGTTCGTTAACCTTGTCATTCGAACCAGATATTTTGGAGACCTTGGATGTTAATGACATTTTACTTACTTTTGCAAGACGTAAAATAAGAAAGAAATTTCACCTGTAAAAATGGAGATTGTACGAACTTACTGTTCACTTACTTACTTGTCACTTTTAAATTGTATGTTTCTTATATAAATAGTTCAAATAATTATCTAACTCAACAATTTATTATTTTTATTTTGGTTTATTAGTTTATGCTTAAATATTGACATTGTGTAGAGCTGTCGGTTTTATCTAATGGCATAGAAATTTAGTATTTTTGTTTACTTTCCGAGTTTATGTTTGAAAATAAATGTATTATTTGAAAAGGGGGTGATTGTTTTTAAATGCATATAGGCCAATCCTAATATTTCAGGCTCTGCCTTTGGTAAGGGTCCTCTATAAAATATTTGTCCACAATCTTAATCCGGCCTTGGGATGAGCATTCAAATCTTTTCAAATATAAGTGATGTGTTACTAGAAATAAGAATTCAAATTTGATATTTCGAAAAAAAAGTAACGATTTTTATTTATCTTTGTAACTATGCAGACACATTTGAAAACATTCTAAAGTGTATTTATGTGTTCAGTTTACCCTATACTATGAATAACATAAAATGTGTTAAATAGTTTACTTTCATCTAGTGATGTTCCTGGTGGCTTGGTGATAAGCTTTACGGTTTATAACAATAGAATTCGGATTTAAATACCTGCTTTAGGCAAAACAGGCAAATCTATCAACAGGAATCACCGTTTTTCTTAACCTATAATAATCTAGTCGCTATATTCCGTCACTCTTCTGTCGCCGCACTAACACCTGAACGTGTTCTTGTACCTATAATAACCTAGTCGCTATGTTCCGTCACTCTTCTGTCGCCGCACTAACACCTGAACGTGTTCTTGTACCTATAATAATCTAGTCGCTATATTCCGTCACTCTTCTGTCGCCGCACTAGCACCTGAACGTGTTTTTGTACCTATAATATTCTAGTCGCTATGTTCCGTCACTCTTCTGTCGCCGCACTAACACCTGAACGTGTTATTGTACCTATAATAATCTAGTCGCTATATTCCGTCACTCTTCTGTCGCCGCACTAACACCTGAACGTGTTCTAGTACCATTAATAATCTAGTCGCTATATTCCGTCACTCTTCTGTCGCCGCACTAACACCTGAACGTGTTCTTGTACCTATAATAACCTAGTCGCTATATTCCATCACTCTTCTGTCGCCGCACTAACACCTGAACGTTTTCTTGTACCTATAATAATCTAGTCGCTATATTCCGTCACTCTTCTGTCGCCACACTAACACTTGAACGTGTTCTTGTACCTCATCTAACTTACCTCATCTGATCAGAACAGAAAATATGATGATTGGAATAATTATGAATTCAACCCTTCTAAATTTTTGTGCAGGTCTTCTGCATGTAGTATAATATTCCTATTAAACCGCCCCCAGTGGCAGAGAGGGATGTCTGCGGACTTACAACGCTAGAAAACGGGTTTCGATACCTGTGATGGGCAGTGTACAGATAGTTCATTATGTAG